ATTGATGAAATAAAACAGTGTAGTGACGTGCCTAGTAACTGCTAAATAACGAGATAATTCCGACGTCAAATTCTATTTTGTCCAGTGACAGTGTACAAACGTGCGCCACTGACGATCACGGTAACCTGCTACACCAGAACGAACATATTTCGCATCTAACTCAACCCCATGCAACAAAAATTGATACTATGTGTTCATTATGGTCCATTCCTCCTCGATGAACAAGTACATAAGTGAAAATTTAGTCAAAGACGAGAAAACTGCAGAAAAAATTTGCCTTATTTACGCGTATCGGCAATGCAAGCTGCCATGCGACTTCCCCTTCTGACGTCACAAGGGGAATTTCTGTATGCAAATACGAAGCTAATGAGGAGCCTCGTTTTAAAATACAGAAAAATAAAGTTGCCGTAGATTGAGTTTAAAACACATTTTTTCACTTAAAAAAATAATTCATGATTAGAAACATAAAAAAATAATAATATTTATGTATCAATGGATAATTTTCGGCGTGAAAATAGCAGCCATTTCACAGGCACTTTAAAGTACATGTATTGGACAAAGTGCCAAAATGAAAGGCTCGAAAACGGCAAATTTGCATAAAAGTAATTTCTTGTCTTTCTACTCGTCTGGAAACCTATTATTTTAACGATTATTTTTGTTTACAGTAATTCGCTTGGCATCCCAATTGAAGAAAATAATTATACAGTGGCGGATATTTTGGGGGAAAATGCAACGAAGTTTTGGAAACCATCCGGTAAAAAGGCATCACTTGTTTACTGAATAAACATGGGGGGGGCAATGATGTAATCTCATCACAAAAAGTGTAATGAATACATGGGATTAGGTCATAAGCCATGTCGAACTGTACCTCTGCATTCATGCGTTTTTTCTCTTTTTACGAGAAACTTGTGATACAAACATGTTAACACTGGCAGCAACCATGTTGATGATGTTATGACTGAGTGGAGCATGCGCAGAGCTTATCATAATCCTCTGTCAAACTATTTTAATTAGTTTCGTCGTTAAGCCCGCATAAAAACAATTACTCGTGTAGCTGTTTATCGTTGCATTTTTATTAATATTTAGCACATATCTGAGTTCAAAATTAACTTTTTTGTTTTACAAGTGTGAAGACAACCCCTTGCAACATTTGAAAATATGCAAAAAAAAAAAAATGTTCAAAAATATGCCACGAACCTGGGTTTCATCGTTAAAATTCTTTCACACATACCTGCGGCTACTTTTTCAAATTCTTCTTCTGAGATTGCTTCTAGTCCAATGGCTTTCTGCTTTAAATTGAACCGATGCCAGTCCAGTTTATAATGTTCTTTCTAATAAACAATTAATGGCAATAATGATATTATCTATTGATAGACGAAACGCATTTCAATGAAATGTTCACAAGTTGGCTAATCTTGAACAAAAGGTTTATAGAAATTATGTTTTTACTAATATGCTTTCTCGTATCATTTTGAATCTACCATCATAAAACATAGTGATGCAATTCTGCATAGCAGCCCTGCACAATATGGATTGGACACAGAGCACTTTCCAATTTTGTTTTTTAAGTCAATATTAGCGACATGTATTACATGTACCAGTAAATCAATGATACATAGTCTCAGTTATTGAAATTAAATTTGTCTTTACACGAAACATTCTACCAACCTGTTCTGATCGTGAATGAAACTGGATATTACAAGTTGAACATAACATTTTATCTGATACTTTATGTTCCTTTATTTCGTTATCTGGGGAGAAAAAAAGAACAAAATGACGTACAATCAATCACGAAATGGTTTAGCAAAAAAAAACATAACATATAGCATGATATGCCCTGTTCTACATTTTGGTTCACCATCAAAATAATTTTCTTGTTGCACATTGTAATTCTGGTGTTATTTAAAACGAGCTGAATTTTGCTCACCCCAGCAAGCCAATGAACGATGGGCGACAATACTAGGATGGACCATACTTGATACCAATATATCAGTAATAATATATTGGTTACAGCTACAGCAAACTAGCTTTCATATCTGTACATTGCTAGGGGATACTATGAGGTTATTACGAGGATACTGAGAAGTATGCATGAAGACAGTACATTCGTAATGACCTTATTATTATACATCTTTTCTTCACAAGGATACATCATGTGCTTCATACTTCTTTGTGTGAAGTCTGTTCAAATCCTGGTGGCAGCTATGTTTGTTTTTATTATTAGAAGACGCTTATGCGTGTAATCATATTTGGAATTCCCATTTTCTAATATGATAGGATGGAAATACCCCGTAAAATACCAATATTATGACACACTGTAACTTATGGAGTTACGGTGACAGATGTATAATACTAGGATATACATTACACTCAATAGAGCAAAGTATTTACTTTTTTGTTGCATTGTATGTATATTCATCAATTGTATTGTTTTTTATATCAATTTAAATTTTTTGAAATCATAGGTAAAAAAGACAATCTTTCCATCTTTACAAATATTTATGAATTTCACAATTCAAACTGAAATGAGAGGTTTCTATTGGCCGATTGAATAACATGCCGTTGTCGCATGCTTTTCTCGTTGCTTGGCTGGTTGGATTCAACTGCCATTGAAATTTATAAATATTTACAAAAACGAAGGGAACCCCTTTATTGCACTGAGAGTAAAATGATGAGTACTTACTTGCATTTCCAACTTCATTTTCACTCATCTCTGACAGTTCTGTTTCGAAGTCTGCAGATGTAACATTGGGCTGACACGATGCAAGACTAAGTCCTCTGAAAAACGTTTTAGCTTTACTTTCACTTAATAAAAATGAAAAGTAAGAGTTGGGTAAGGAGGACTGTTGAACGTCCAGTCGTTGCATAGCTTGTACAGTGCTGTCCATATCGTCAGATGCCGAGATAACTACCGAGTCTACTGTAATGTTTGACATGGTTCTTTTACCATTTATACTGTACTCCAGTTATGGTCGACAATGAATGTGTATGTATAAGACAAAAGTAACTGTTACGAAATCCAAAAGTATTGCACAACTTTCAGCAACGCCAACCAAGAATTCTCACACAAGTACTTTCACATAGCATACTTTACGAAAACGGTTCTTGACATATATTAATTAACAGAATGATAGACAATACAATGTACAGTCAGTACTGTTTCTAATTGCGGTTCGCAAGACAGAATACAATATGGATACAACGTCCGCCATGACAGTACATCGAACTTTGAACTCTTTGATGACGAGCGCCACCTGTGGTGATACAATGATACTAAAGAGGGCGTCAATATTTCAACTAATATTGAACTTTTAACACATTTTATGTCAACTATGCTTGAATTTCGATTCCAGTGTTTTTTTCAACTTGATTAAACATCACTGATACTTTGTTCCTTTGAAATCATAGGTAAATAATAAAAGGTCTTTGTTTCGTCCAGTGCTAGTTCATAAACTGTACTGGGTGCCGGACACAGTCTGGGAATTTAGATTCAGGTAATTGATAATTTTGATTCCTTTCTAACAATATAACAAACTTTTATGAAGAAAAAAAATTATGCAAATTGTGTATTATAATCATTTTTCAATGATTTCAATAGGCGTCAAAACAAAAATCAAAAAATCAAAGAAAAAATCTTCTACTTCAGGTAAACCAAACTAAAAATTTACAACTTTAAATCACAAGTCTTCATGGTAAAAGAAATATGCTGCAAGTACCACACTCCCGGTTCCAGTAATTACATAATTACATATTTCAACATAAACTTTCTTTATATCATGTGATACTTTCAGTGTGTACCTCAAAAAGATGTGCACTATTCTATTCACAGTCTTTAACATTACATGCCTGTGCAAACACAAAGTAACATACACATGTTGCAAGTACTTCACCAGTTAACTCCCTTAGTGACAACAACACAAACACCATTAGAATTGCAGCAGAAATGAAACCATGTTGAGTATTTCAGATAAACTTTATTTCACTGATAGAACTGATCAACATATCAGATAATAAACTGTATAATGGTCAACCCTATAGAATCCATTGTCTCTGATAGTTGGTGCAATAGAGTAGAGTATATTATGTTAGAAGTATATTGCGATATAAACCAAGCTGTCTATTTCAATTTCAAGAAACAAACTAACCACACTCATTTTTCTACATATCAGTTTTACAGAAGTTTTTACAGGAGGATTTACTGTATTTGCTCGATACAAGCACATCTCCAATAAATATATGTAAACCAGCATTAGCATGTATTGAATAGGGTGTCATTAAAATATGACTTGTTTTGACCTTACACATTCCTCTGGCATTTACATGTACAAGCTTGATGAAGCAAATAGAATGGATCAATTTATGCAACATCATGTAAAGCTCCTTTACTTCAAGAACTTGAGCAAACATGGGTGTGGCATGAATTGCTTGTTTCGTCACCACTAACAATTTAACGAAACTGCCAGAAAGCAGAAAACGGTTGCAGATTTAATTCGCAGACTGTCGGACAACTCAATTAATCAAATATGCATATACAACACAAAAGTAATAAGCATAATTAAACTCATAAAATTCTATTCAAGAAATCCCAGAAAAATGCAGGTACAATTGTAAAAAATGGCAAATGCTACAGGGATAAACATCAGTGTTACTCAAATGATAATAAATTAGAATCTGCTAATCAGTTCAAAATACTAGCAATGCTATCCAAACACTCCTACAGTCTGTATTTTTCACTTTTTTGTTTTCACTACATATACACGTACATTAAAAATTTATCCAAATCTAAACACACTGTACACTTCTCTGTTTCGTATTTGTTACATTTTTGTTATTTGAAAATAAGATTGCCGTCTTCCTTGTTGTATCCTTTTTGATACCTCATACCAGGAAGCTGAAAAGAAGAAATAAACAAATCATTAGAATTCAGAGTATGTTAGAGAATGAGTAATTGAACTTCACTTAATATCACTCTCTCAATATCTGAAATGGACATTTACAGATTTGGATCTCTGTGCCTGTACTGTCAGCATGTACGTATTCATTACATGCTGGCTTATTTCTTGGTAGGTCCAACTGTTGAAACGCATCTTACAGGATGCGGATTTACATATTGCCAGGAATTAAAAAAAAAAAAAACGGTTTACATATATGGATGTTACAGTGTCAGTATATGGTCGACAGCAATTGTTATTTAAGATAAACATTGTTAACTCACTTCCAAATATTCTTGCCTGATTTCATCAAACTCCAAAGCACCGACAGTCAGTTCTGGCAGATATTTTGCCATGATCGTCTTGGCAACTACATGAAATTTATTGTTGAAACTGCAATATAACAATTTAGAAACAATACGTGTGAGAAAACTCAAAGTGCTCAACACAATGATTGCTCATTTGGTACAATTACAGCCACTAAGCTGTCACATTGATTATTCCCTTGGTTCAAATTTCCCCTGTTTTGACTGATAAATGAAAGCCGAAAAATTAACTTCAAGTAGATTACAAATAAAAAAATAATTTTTTCACTTGAAAATCCTTGAATTCAATTTATATTTCAGTAAATATGATAAAATTCATGTATCAAAATAATGAAAATAAATACAATACAGATAAATGAAACTGGTAAATGTAAGATTATGAAATTTGGCAGATCAATGTGGGACTTACAAGACTTATTCATACAACTTATTTTACTTACAATACTCTGTAGTGATGCAAACTGACATCATCTTGATCATTCCAGGGTGATTTCTCATATTTCAACATGTCAATATCTTCAAGCACCTGTGGCAGCAAAAAAACAAAACATTATAACATGATAATCCTGTAGCAAGAGACTTACAGCGGTCACAAACAAGATTTGTACGATGAGTTAGCAAATTCCTAGGAAACATGCCAATATAGAAGGAACTTTCTCTTATTGGCGCCATCAGTAAGTTGAATAACAACTCAATACCAGTATAAGTTTGAAATGGTGGATAGATACTCGGATACATTCAGAGTCAGCAGTCAGCTAGGAAAAAGTTTCCTAATATTGTTAATATTAGTGTAGTTGAACTGGCTTCATTTTTTGGAGCTTTCAACCTGTAATGATGTCATCTACTATTTGATTTTTAAAAACTAGACAAATCATTTTTTTTAAATTTTGGGTAGTTATCTCATTAGTGGCTCTAAGTGTAAAATAGCCCTGCTCTTCAAGTATTAGAACCATATACTACTAAATAGAAGCATGGTGACATTGAGAGCAGACTTTATAACTGTTTGTTTAACACAAAAACAAGTCAATTACGTACGGCACAGCAACAACATGGGTATTATCAAACAAACTCATCTATCCACAGAAATACGACTCACCCTTTCTATCTCTCCAAAATTGGTCCAGTCATAGTGTAGAATCTCTGAGCTTTCACCAATCTCAGGCAGGAACTGCTTAGTATAGGCACGATCAATGGACTCCAAATAACTGTCGTCAATGGTCTGTTCATATGGCTATGGAAATAATTGTAATAATAATTGTAGAATAACATTTGTAGATTTTCTAGTAGAATATATGTGACATGATGTAACCTCTTGTAATACATACATGTATACCAATAATATTGCCAATATAACCATGCTTCAAAAAGCATTTAACCATTTTTCTGCACTTTTTTTCTTATATTCTTAAATATTTCTGGAAATGAACCCTAATTTTGGTCTATTTTCATTTTTTACTCAAAAGATTTGGCTATTTTTGTCCCAATCTTCTGAAAGTGCAGACTATAATCAGGATTATTTTGTGAATTTCTGATGAAAAGAGGGAACTGGTGGTGAAAAGGTTAACTGAGCACCAATTACAAACAATCGTAACTTACTATTCCCCTCTCCTTGATTCTCTTTTTAACGACATCAAGGGGAGCATCCAAGTAGATCACTAAATGTGGTGGTAACACACGCCATAAAGAAATCCCTTTCAATTCTTGATAATAGTCATAACCTAAATATGAAAAAGAAAAAATTTAATTCTACTGGCATCTGTAGTGAAGGCTAAGAGTGTCAGCTCAAAGGCAAGACTTGAACTTCACAGAGGCATCATAAGATAATTGCCGCAATGTCCAACCTTTCCTATGATATCCATAAAGGCCAGGGTGGGAATGGGTGTCCTCTCAACTACATGTATGTAAGTTCAAGCTCTGTAAAGGTAGACATCTAAGCGAAAACCTTATATGGAATATTGGAAACACAAATAACAATGCGTTACATCACATCTCTTCTTTGCATTCCCAATGACGTAAACTCATTGGTTATAGCTGATTACCGTAGCTTCAGTATGTAATTTGTACTTACACTGTTTTCTGATCAGACCAGCAGTTGTGATTGCTTCCAAGAAGACAAAATCACTGTACACGGATCTGTCCAAAATAACACCTTCCCCTAAATATAAAAAAAGAATACAGTCACTGCTGTGGTAGTAGTACACAAATTCATACCCACACAAATTCAATTATTAAAACATGTCAGTCTACTTCCCGATATAGCCTCAAACTAAACAACTACATATGTAGGAGTAAAATCCCAATCAATCCTACATCTTTTGTCTAACCTGTTTCCCTGTTGCATTGATTGCCTTTCAATTGTGTCGCATTGTATATTTTCACAGTGGGGATCAAATAGACTAGCTCATTCATGATAATCAATTTTTCATTAAATCAATTTGAATTAATTTGCAAAATCTCTTATTCTGAAGGGAAATGAACTTGTAGATGTATGATTTAATGTCAAAATGTTGTACAGGCATAATGTACAGGCCAATAAACACAACTTGAATGCAACAAAACAGCAATGTGGTAGCAACACCGATGCAATAAATAACTGATCTCAGTGCCAAAAATAATAAGAGATTGCATGAAATGCATAGCTAATGATTGTCACTATATTAATAACAGAGTCAGTGACTAACCTGTTGTTAGAAGATGGTTCATAGCATCACAGTACGTCAAGTATCTTATCATGTACATCACTACCTGTAATCGAAAACTGTGGCCGTCCTCTGCTTTAGGGTCTTTGTAAAATCTCTCCAGTGACACATTGCCTGCAAATAAAAAAGAGATCACCAGTAAAGTATTTGTACACACACACACACCTGCGCACGCATGGGAATTGAGTCTCAATCGATAACAACACGTGCTAAAAACGCAAAGGCTGATTGTCAGGTGTTAGGATTGGGTAGTCAATCAGGCACAGTTTTGCAAGTAGCTTCTCATTGACTGCAGCCTTGTATTGAATGTTTTTCCTGGTAGTGTATGATACACTAGTGGTACTGACTAAGGTTTTGAAATGACTAGCAATGAGCCCCTATTCAACATGCTGAAGCAATAATTTGAGTATGTCCTGCGCTAATCTCAAGAACCTGAGGATAGATGATGGAGACAAATTGATGCATTTTTTCTCAACAGACTTTTCTTTGAGTAGGAAATTACCCAACACACTATGCTCTATATGAATGTGGTAACATGCAACAAAGAACCTCAACTCACCGGTGAATTTTGGATCCAAGCGTTTACCATCTCCAGATTGTCTGTCGAAGTAATCTAAAGATGCCTCAGGAAAGTAATACATGCCAAGTTCTTTTGCTAACTTTTGACCTAGGGTAGTTTTTCCGGCAGCAATATTGCCATCTATGACAATAATTTTACTTCTGTCATTGAATCTTTTCAGTGTTCTTTCACCCAGAATGTAATTTAGCCAGCTGTACTTCTTCAAGTCGATAGAAGATGTGTGAAATTTCTTGAATTTCTGGAAGATGAAAAAATAATTGTACAGTGCAACATGTATGAAATTCAATGTACTTTGGTATATGACATATTACATTCTCAACATTATGCACAAGTTACCATAAAATTTACTTGTTAAGGTATATGTCAAGCATTTAACCTATAATAGCTTCATGGTGGTATTGATCTGTGTCTTATGTGACAAGTACGATGTTCATGTAGTTTGGTTATATATACTTTTCTCTGGGTTAAATATTGCAAAATTCAAAAAAATCTGATTATCTGTGTTAATATAGTAGACAAGTAACTTAAAATATTACAAGTCTGAGACTGTTCCATCCAACCTAGGATGTCTTACGACTTGTATTGGAAGGATTTTTTGAGCATGCGACTTTTAACTGTAATATTTTCTAGATGACTATTGCCAGGTTTACACCAGTGCATTGTCTCATACAACATGTACTCATGACCTTCTTTTTTCTCCCAGCTCAGTAAGAGTAAGCAACTTCGATACCATGTGATATGAAGATCACATTCCATGTGCGCATGTCAGTCTAACAGATTTTTAACCATGGCAATAGCATCACAGAATGCAGTGGACACTTGAAAAAGTTTGACAATTAGTTTTATAAATGGATGTTTTGTAACCATCTTGGAATTTGTGCGACTAATTCAATACTTCAATTCACACCAATTGCATACCCATAATCTAACAATCTTTTGTTGAATGCTATATTGAGTATGGACATACGAATGGATCTCCATGTATTAGAAGAACTGTTATATTACCTGGAGTACGTGTACACATGTACATGTATAATTTCCCTGCAGATCATAATTCCCATGACCCCAGTTTCATTAATGTGAAATCTATCTGATTTCTACGATATATTGACATAATTCTGGATAAACAATATGCATTTAATAGTACTACGACTGTGTTTAAATCCGTCACCTTGTAAGGGGAGTTGAGTTCGGTTTAATATCATAACTTTACCTGTGCACCGACTCCTGCAGCCGCGGCCATCTTGCAACTGTCTGCTCCATTCTGGCAACGTAAAACACTAACCAAGGGGCTGCTTTTCGTGACGCCAAGGCGACATCTTCCGATGAGCAGGGCCATGTTTAGAGGGTACAGCTATAAATCACGAATGCAAACAGTCCAGTTTTGGGATGTGGGTGAACTTCTGAACTCACTCGTCTCGCACGACAAAATGGCTACCCAGTAACACAGCGCCACCAGCCATCCAACATTAAAAATACGAGTTTGTTGGGAAGTGTATTCTTCACTCCACCACATTAGGGCAGACCACTAAATGTACTTTCTTTGATATACATGTATAACAGACACTTCCTAAAAATAAGAAAACCAATAAAGTTCCAAAATGCCAAATATACACATGGGATTGAAGATGTGGTCGGTTGCCAAAGTATTTATTTTGTATTTGTATATATTGTGATATAATATTTATACTGTATATGGTTCTGTGAATTTCATGAGAGATAAATTTGTTTTACATAGAAAATTTAGAAATGTTTTATATATTTTGATTGGCAAAATTAACTAGATCAATCACAATGCAGCAAATATCGTGTTTTTGTTGGGTATTAGATGTTTTATAAATATTTTATAAATGTCCATAAAAGCCGTGCATGCCTTAATGAAATTGCCATTATGTCAAAATGTTATGAGAGTTTTTAATTATATTTTTATTATAAACATTAACAAATATTCCAGTCACTTGTGCATAATAAATTGCATGATAACTCAACAATTCCATTTCACTTTTCCAATTTTAAATTTCTGAATTAGGAGATTCCAAAAAGACAAGTAACCAAGAATCTGTACTATCTTTTATGTCAGAATAGGGATATTTCAAGCAGCAACTACCTTGCCAAAAAACAACACCACAGGCAATTATATCACAATGTAATATTAAAAAATCCACACACCATGTGACTGAAATGCATATCTACAGCCAGAGCATACATGTTATACAGCCTTTTATTCTATTGTAAGTGACATGGTACTTATGGGGCCCCTACAAGCACAGTGTGAATTCCACCCATGGGTATTTAGTACAGACACTACCAGTAGTTTTAGATAACTATTCATTTATTGAGAGATCGGCTACATATTTAGCTTTTGCTAAACAGATTCGTCAAAAGAAAACATATCCTGAATACACTGTTTACATGTCACTTGAGTTTACACTTTATACACTGTTTGTCAAATTATTGGATCATTATTGAGACACTTTCTCAAATCTGTAATCAGTGAATCATTATTGAGACACTTTCTCAAATCTCAAATCAGTGAATCATTACTGAGACACTTTCTCAAATCTCAAATCAGTGAATCATTATTGAGACACTTTCTCAAATCAGTGAATCATTACTGAGACACTTTCTCAAATCTCAAATCAGTGAATCATTACTGAGACACTTTCTCAAATCTGTAATCAGTGAATCATTATTGAGACACTTTCTCAAATCAGTGAATCATTACTGAGACACTTTCTCAAATCTCAAATCAGTGAATCATTACTGAGACACTTTCTCAAATCTGTAATCAGTGAATCATTATTGAGACACTTTCTCAAATCTCAAATCAGTGAATCATTATTGAGACACTTTCTCAAATCTCAAATCAGTGAATCATTATTGAGACACTTTCTCAAATCTCAAATCAGTGAATCATTATTGAGACACTTTCTCAAATCAGTGAATCATTATTGAGACACTTTCTCAAATCTCAAATCAGTGAATCATTACTGAGACACTTTCTCAACTCAGTGAATCATTATTAAGACATTCCCCATATCTCAAATCAGTGAATCATTATTGAGACACATCTCATATCACTGAATCATTGTCGAGACATGTGACAAATCACTGAATCATTGTCGAGACATGTGACAAATCACTGAATCATTGTCGAGACATGTGACAAATCACTGGATCATTGTCGAGGCATGTGACAAATCACTGAATCATTGTCGAGACATGTGACAAATCACTGAATCATTGTCGAGACATGTGACAAATCACTGGATCATTGTCGAGGCATGTGTAAAATAATTGGATCAATGCTGAAACAAGTGTAAAATTGTTGGAGGAAAATAAATTAACATCATTTATAAACTGTACAGATAATAATAATATGCAACTATAAAAGTAACTGTACACAATTATGCATGAGGCATGAAGTATTCAAATTTTAACATTACAGAAATACATATGGTGACAACAATGCCACATTTTGATTCTGATTCTATACACTACTGATATACCAGTACATTTTGTTTAAATCCATGTTCAGTATCATACAGTTAATACAAATCTAATTTTAAAAAGTCAATAAAATATTATTATAATAATTACAAAATTAACAGTCTGATATGCGCCACTTTTTGATTGTATTAAAACAATGCTACATCTTTATAGGCTCTAATCATAAAACGTTTATTTATTAATTTTTTTTGTATCTAGAAAAAAACATAGCGTAATTATTACAACCTTGCCCATTGAGAATCTGGATTAAATAACGAATGGATGGATACAAACTAACGATGCACATGGTAAAGGTGGGTAAGTCCTGCTATAATATATCTAAACACTTTGGGTGGGGAAAATACTGGCTACAATTTAAGTGGAAACGAATATGACCAAAAATAAACAGGACCAATGAAGTCATAATTACATAAAAAAAATGAATAAATATTCATGTTTCTTGAATCATACTACATGTACATGTACTGTATTAATCTGAGTGTCTATTATAGAATAATATAACATGTATCATATAAAAGTTCCTAAAAAATAATAGTACAGCAACATATCTAAGCAAAATTTGGCAAAAACAATACTAGCCAACTTGTTACTAAATTAATGCTACATGTACTGTAATAATCTCACTGTCCTGTATAGAATAACCTGAATTGTATAAAAGTTCCCAAAATAACAGTGCCAGTTTTGGCAGAAAAATTAAACTGTACTTTTATTTTTTTGAATTATAGTACAAAATAAAAACAATATATTGGTTTACTACACTTATCTTAGAGAGCATATCACTAACATCTGGTTGAGATTATCAGTGGTATAAATGTCTTCATTATGTCCACATATTTCTAACATTAGTTTTATTTCAGCCCAGATCTTTAAAAAGTTTGCACTTGCTAGTCAGACCAAAATTGAACTTGGTTGACATTTCAAATGATTGATAAGATTTCCAAATTGAAAGATGATCAAATAAATGTTATTGTAACCACAAGAAAAAGAAAACATCAAGTGAAATTTAACCAATAATATGTATAGAAAATATACAAACTAAAATTAAATTTGGCAACGATCCGAAACTAGTTAATATCCAAGTTTGTAAGAAATTGGATAAAAACTGTTTCCCGTCATATACCTTGAACTTCATCTATAGCAATACGGACAAGGTTAAAATGGATGAATCAAGTAATTCACTTTTCTGCAGAGGTCAATATTGCACTTCATAGCTGTATGTGTAAATCTATGGGGGAAATTAGACATTGATAGTCACATGTGAGCTGCCAAAGAAGAAAATCCAGTAAAACCATTTAGTTACTCGATACAAGTGATTGCGGTAGCGAAACGGAAACCTATTTCAGACATACATGCATGCTGTAATAGTAATACCCAGCACACACTAAAATTCTAAATACATAATGTTACAACAATAGTTCACAACATCTTTATTGCTCATAAGCAGTTTGGTTTGTTCAGCTGCTCTCTTCACTCTCACTTTCACTGCCAGTCTCGCTTTTTCTCTCCTCCATCAGACCAGAGAACCATGAAGAGACAGTAGACTTTGCTGTGTTAAATGCCCCGCCCACCATACGTCCAGTGTGCATGACAGCAGTACCAGTCTTAGTAACGGCATTGCTTAATTTCCTACCCTGCTCAGTGCTGGAAATAACAGTATGAACAAACTTAAGTACTTAACATGAACCAATCAACACATTAATCTACAAGAAAGAATCACGTGGTACAGTGTCTATGTCACATGGTACAGTGTCTATGTCACATGGTACAGTGTCTATGTCACATGGTACAGTGTCTATGTCACATGGTACAGTGTCTATGTCTCATGATACAGAATCTACTTCATATGCTCCATATTTTGTATTCATTAAAAGTTAATTCATATACACACACACATGTTCATAATAGCGAGATAACTTAAAATATATAGTATAGCTACCTTTTCAGCCTCAGTTTCATATCAGCCACACTGAGATTACCATGACATGGATGTCTATATGTTGGGAAAGAATGAATAAAAAAATGTATAATGAAAGATGTTAAATGTGTGCATTATGACAAATACCAATCAAGTATTGGCTTCAATTGAGCTTTGGGAAAGGCAAGCCTTAAGGGGTCAGTGTCTGTATTACCATACTTACTTGCAGTGTTCCTCAGTAATTCCAGAATGATTCATTGACTTCCACACTCTGTAATTGTGTGTAGTCTTCCAGGCATTTATAAAACTATGATTAAAATCATGATTATCATCCTCGTTTTCTGCAAGAAAAAACAAACAAAGCAATAATCAAGAGATAAATATCTCGTCAAACACACCAGCCACATGAATGCATTGCTAAGTTAATGTGAAATGAAACTTTTGTGGGACACACAGTTTTTTTACCTAGAGTGTTCCCAAGGGTTGCTGAAGCACACAAAGACAGACTTGGCAAGAGTATGTGAGTGTGGAGAATTTAGAGTATATCGGAAGAAATACATCTATACGTAGGAATCACTGAGTAGATACCAGGTCCATGTAACAATAATGACTTACCCGAGAATTGCACAGTAGCTAATAAAGCTTGTAAATAAAGTTTAAACTGTAGTCGAAGCCATTCTTCTCCGCCTTCCCAACCTGACAAAAAAATATACATGTTACATTTCATGATGATACATTGTTGACATATTGCCTACTGACACAGTTTTTTTCAAACTTTATCTTGGCTATCATCCAGAGAGATAATGTGATAAAGCCATAAGTATTCTAACAGTTACACTACCATATAAGGAAAGTGGAGCGCGAGATTAAATTTACATTGGCTTTCTACTACTATCAACACTTGAATATTCATGATTTCTTTGGATGCTATTTGACATAGTATGCAATTATTCCATATTTGGCAATATATCTTTTATTGAAGTTTCTATGTTACAACTTACAGGCTATATTGTTACTACCGGGTAAGTGTTATATTTTTACAATTGTTACCTGTTGGATCCAGAAAGACGTTCTCTTTCTCATCCAGCACATTTCTAACCAGGATATCAGCAAATCGTAGATCAGCGGTACTAAGGTTTAATTGCTTTCTCAATTCATTGTCTTGTATAACAATCCTATTGTTTTCTTCCAACTAAATCAATACATTGAAAAATGGGTATTATAAGATTCCGTCCCTAAAAGTCTATGCATTAATCCACATCAATGTAAATGGAATAGTCCCAAGAAATGTTATATCTATAACTGTACAATTATTGTAATAAAGGGGTTATAATGCAAGTTATTGCACTGTGTACACATGCAACAGTCAAAATAGCTCTGCTGTCTTTCTGATAACAAACTATTGTCCATGATTATTAGTGTTCCTTCCATATCATGACCATGATGGCAGTTACAATTGTTCTCCTGTTACAAGTCCCATGGAGGTGAACCCATGGACTCCACATACAGTTGGGAGTTGACATGACAACAAATTGTATATATCATGAATTGAACAAATCTGTCCACCCAAGGTACATACCTACGTATCAAGTATCACAGTAATTGAGCTGGTAGTTTTCAACAAGAAGTCAAAAATAGCAGTTTTACTAAAAATGACAGAAATATTCGCAAAAAATTGAGAATTGAAGATATTGTCCCAAGATGAACAAATCTGACAAAGGTCCACCCAAGGCACCCACATACAAATTATCAAAGCAATTGAGCTAGTAGTTTTCAAGAAGAAGTCTGCTGGGTTTTAATTTCAAAACTTTCACTGATGTGTGAAAGCTGTTAAATAAATCCATGTGAACATGTGTAATCACTTTAGATCTTATTGTTTTGTAGATAAATCAGTGACTTTAAAACCAAATAAATATGCCTAAAAATATCAAAACAGTGAAATTAAATATGAGTGCAAATGAATGCATTTACAGTATAATGAATTGCACAAAATTTAAACATATACTGTAGAATACTTTATTTTCGCTTGGAATTAAATTTCGCTATTTTTGCTGAAGGGATGATTCCGTGAAAATAAAATCCAGCAAATATACTTTTTTCCCTATATTTCACATTAAACTCATCAAAAATCAGTGAAAATAAATTCCATACAAAACGCCCAAAAAGCCTTTTCAGCGAGAATATTTCCAGCGAAAATACAGTATTCCACAGTACCTGTTTTGCAATTTACAATCGGGATATGGAAACATAAGAACAATGACAACATGAATAAAGAACAACATAGTTGAACTCTGGTGACCTTGCCCTTTGTTATATAATATAATTCCCTTTATCATAGTTTGTTTCAATATAAATATGCATTGTCATAATTAATTTTGAATACAAACAAGTTTTGGGGTTGAACCAACAGTGGGGAATCAGTCTATCGAATGTCCTTAAAAGATGTAAATATCTTAAACAAAAACATTGGTGCCTTATTTGTTTAATTATTTTAAGGGAAACATAATTTCCAGCTTTATT